AGTGGAGCGATAAAATTCCATGTCTGTCAAAGTGTCTAACAGAGCTATAGGAATAAAACCAAAACGTATGCTTCATGTTTGAATGTATCAATGTGATAATTCAATATACTTCTTGAATAATAAATACTATTAAGATAAAATGACTATCAACTTGACTAAATTGATCTTGAATGATAGGTAATACAAAGTCTTTTAAGACATAACACTTGTATTTTCTAGGCAATGTAAATTAAACCTATCTTCTATAATATAAAATGATGTATTAGAAATGTCAGAGACGTCTTCAAAATTGGAATATTAAAAGGCCAGCCACTGCAAAGTGCCCGTTTTGATATTCAGCTTTACAATACACTGCTTTACTGTGGGGCCAAATATTGAGAAAAAAATAAAATCGCATTTCCTGATGAACTGACATTAGGAAGGATCATTTCCCAGAAGAAGAACTTAATAATGTGAAAGAATTGTTGGAAAAAGTGAAACATCTTGCTGTGAAACAAGAAAAAGCCTTGTTCCTGCCATCACAGTCAATCACTCAAGACTCACTGGGCTCATACCACCTTGAAGACTTTTCCTTCCTTCTCTTCTTCCTCCGCCCCTCCTTCCCTCCCTCCCTCCCTTTCTTTCCTTCTGTTCTTTTTCTTTCTCTGCCTGTACATACTAAGTCACAAGAATCTCACTTGTCTAATGCTCATTAACCGTATAAAGCATTTGCTCCCAGACAGAAACTGGTTCAGTGAGTGGTTTGGAGGACTGTGTAACTTAGAGCTCTTTCCTTCCCTTAGGACATCATATATATGGTTCTCTACTTTCTTTCATATATATGGTACTCTACTTTCCCCATGAATTTCACTTCTCATTTTAAATATTTCTATTCACTTTTTAATTTACCAATTATGGCCCCATTTCCTTGGAAAATTTCTCTCAACACTGAGGCAGGTTCGTGGGTATAGTCTTTGCCGATGCATACGACTCTCTCTCAGGCTTCTACACTTGGTTTTAGTGTTCTTCGGTCACTGTTTTGACATTCTTAATAATTTTAACTTTGACCTTGTGTCCTGTTAATGAAGTCTAATGGAACAATGTACTATACATATGAGCAGAGGAGAAAGGGACAGTATTTGTTTTTGTTGTTCTTTTTCACCCAAATATAATGTTTGCAGTGATCTCTGAACATGATTGACTTCATGAAGCATGAAAGTTCAGCAAGAAACAAGCTAAGTGTGTTAAGAGTGTGCCTATATCTGGGTACTGACAGCCCCCAAAGACCACATGTTCTACTTGATCCAGAACTTTGCAGAAAGAAGAAAATGACCACGGACCCCTATTCTATTCTTTCTTACTCATCTCTTATTAGCCAGTTGTACTGATAATAATGACACTGAAGCAGAAGGAAAGATAAAGCAACCCATATTTCCTTTTTCTTTCTGTCACTCTTAACTCATCAGTAGGCTGTAGGTCAAGAGAATATGTGCATATCAAGGTGGGCAGTAAAAAGAGCTGTTGCTGGGCATAGTGGCACACCAAGTAAAACCCATTTATTTGCTTGTAATCCCAGTGACTAGGGAGGCCGCGGCAGGAGGATCAGGAGTTCAAAGCCAGCCTCAGCAACTTAACAAGGCCCTAACCAACTTATAGAGACTCTGTCTCTAAAGAAAATATAAAAAAATACTGACTAAGGAAGTGGCTCCTGGGTTCAATCTCTGGAATTCCTCCCACAAAAGGCATTTAGTTTTGTGCAGTGGTTTCACTGTTCTGTTAAGAAGAAATTGAATAATTTTGGTGCTTTTATATTCAAGTGAAATGCTTTATGTTGGTATTTAAAACTGTCATTGCACAATATCAAGATGAAGGGTAAAATTCATGCTAATAATTAGAATTTCTCTTCTTTATTAGAAGGACATTAAATGACAAATTGAATGTGACAAGTTGGGAGGATCACATAAGAAAGTAAATGGTTTATGTTTTAATATCTTTAATGGTACTTTTCTCCTATTTTCTATATATATTTTTTTGTTTCTTTGTGGGTTTTTTTATTGTTTTCGATCTAGGGATACTGCATTTTCATTTTGCACTGTGCCCTGCAAATTATGTAGCTAGCTCTGCTGAAGACCTATTAGTTAAAACTGCTTCACTTTTATTAACCATGGTTAAGAAGCATTACCTCAGTGCCAGTAATATTTCTGAATTACAGAAACTGAAGACCAAGTTGGTGGCTCTTTGCAAACTCTGTAAGTTTTTTCTTGGCATACTTAAGAATTTTCAAGTGAAACCCATTTGTTCTCAAGCAAGGATAACAAAAATAGTTTGAAATTTTTCATTTCTTTGTCAGTGGTAGTTCTTTTTTTCAATGAACTACCTTTTTCTAATTTACTTTTATTCTACTGGCCTTCACTAAAAATATAGAGCATTTCAGCTGTCTTGCAGGTCATATAGACTTTGGCTTTCAGAGTCATGTATTTTTAGGGATGGATTGGGACATAAGCATCATCTCAGTCTCTAGGAAATATATGTTTTAAGTGTCAAATAACTGGCTTACAAACTAACCTTTGTTCCATAGCCTGTTTGCAAGTCAAGAGCTTTCTGATTTTAGTTTACGGTTTCTTACAGTTCAAATACGATGCTCAAGATACTCATTTGCTTCATGATTATGAAACACCTACTATATAACAGAGTTTTCAAAAACCACTTTGGAACATTTATTTAGTCAGGTTTGAGAGCTTAGCATGCTGTTCCCTTGGTTTGGTCCTAGAATTTAGTTAGGAAGAGGTAATATAAATGGACAGGAAGAAGACAAACAGGAAAAAGAAAGGTTGTAATTTTACACCAAAATTCAGATATTTGCTCTTCATGTTCTTGTTTCCATAATTACTATAGAGGAGATGATATTATTTAGTCATTTTTAGTCATCTCCTGGAGACCTCTGAAAATTAGATGTTTTCTGTGATATTATCCTATGAGAATAGAGAAAAAATTATAGATGCTATTCATCTCTAAGAATTTTATTTGCCTTCAGTCAGCAAGAAGAGTTAGAGATTTTAATTTAAAAATAAAAAAAAAGAAAGAAACAAAAAAAGAACAACAGAAAAAAAGGAAAAAAGAATTCTCTCTGGTCTCTACGTCAACTGAGGTCATGTTTAATAATTACACCTCTGTGTATTAAATTAATCCTTTATGCTTTATCTTTTCAATGCAAAATACTAGGTTACAAACTCTATGTGAACCAGCTGTTTCTGGAATTCAGTTTTGGAATACTTTATTATTTCTCCTTTTAACTCTATTTTACTTGTTTGTCTTCCTTCCAAGTAAGAGAGATAGTTTACAAAAGAGTAAGAAAATAGTTGGTTTTAGTAAACATATTAGATTTTCACAAATAACAATTTTCACATTTGTTATCTTTTAGTAAGATGATATTTTCTAATGTGTTTTGATTATAGAACGCTTTTTTAGCACAAGAAAAGACCGTCAAAAATTGTATATCAAAAAGGAACCCCAACTATCATTTCTATTATTGAATCTTTGATGCTTATTTGCTATGGTTGTCCCTAATTGCAAACGTTGTTTAATTCCATTACTTTTAGAGAATGATGGTTTATTTTATTTTTATGAAGACTTTTTTTTTCTCCCAAAACACTACTGGATTAAGTTTATTTCCCAGGTTAATAATTTTTACTAGAAGTTGTTTTTGTGTGTATTTTTAAAAAGGCGATCTCTTTAAAAAGAGAGACAACTTAAATCACTATTATACTACATGTTTATGTTGAAAAACGACCATGAGAAAACACTAATTGTTTAGAGATTACATTTTCAGAAATCTCCATTATGGAAATTATTCCTGTTAGGTGCAGTTGTCTGCAGGGTGGGCTGAACAAACGTTAGCTGCAGGATTACCCAGGCACTCAAAGCCCCCTCTGTCTGGTCCTTTATCACCTATTTGCATCAAGTCTGAACACTGGACCCCCACCCACCTGGTGCAAAGGAAACCCACATCTGACCCCTGCCCCTTCTGCCTGAAGACAGAAGATGACACCTTTAGCAACTACTGTATGATCCAATCATTGTAAACCAACAATTTAGCTTGCAGACCCAAAGATCCCATTAGATTTTGGCTATAAAAACTCCCTCCTGCTGGGCCCCTCTCTCTTGCTTTCCCTCTCTCTTGCTCTCTTTCTTCTCTGGCTTTCACTCTCTCTCTCTCTTTCTCATGCTCTCCTGCCTCTTTATTTCTTCTCTCTCTCTCTCTTTCTTTTCTACTCCTTCTCACTGTTGATCCCTTGGTCGCTCCTAGTGTTGTGGTCACTTTCCTTTCAATTCCTCTATCATAAAGCAACAAGAGCAAACTGTAAAAAGTAGGCTGTGCATAAACACAGCCAGATTTTTTTTTTTTTCAAAAACCATGATTTCATCATATCCTCAGACAAATCGTATGGTACAATAAAACAAAATTCTCCGATTAACTCCTGTATCAGCACCACTCTACTAGTAGCGCCCACCAAGCTTTTAAACCCCAAATCTGACACACTGCTAGATACGAGCAATATTTCAATATCTTTCGTGCAAGTTAAAAAAAAAAAAAAAAGTTCTAAGTGGAAGTGCAGGGGTCCTGTCCTTAGGTCCCTTCTTGTGACCAGGCACAAATGGGCTATTCTCTTCTATCCCTACAGATTACTTGTTTGTAAAATAAGAAACCCGGACAAAATTTTTCTTTACTTCCCCTAATCTGACTGGGCGTGAAAGGGAGTAGGTTGAATCAGGGAAGATTCGGAGGGTTAAACTTTGCCCTCTAACTTCTGAAATCAAGGCTCTGCGGGCGGTTCACCCACGGAAACCCCCAAATTGGAACCAGGGCCGCGTTCTGCAGCTGCTCTTCCAGAAACCCGTCGGCTCCTGGAAAGGAGTTCGCCCCACGCCCCCCTCCACACGGTCCTGGTCGCCAGCGAACTACAATTCCCAGAATACCATGCAACCCTTCTCGCAGGGTACCAATAAGCGCGCGAGTGACGCCATCATCCAGCGCGGTGTTTAGGCTCCACTGATGTCGTGGCGCTTTGGGGCAAGAAGTTGGTGTTGCTCGGGCCCCTGGGACTGAAGACGAGGTCCGGGTGACTCCGGCCTTTTCCTACCCACATCTCCCTCTCTCGCCTTTCTCTCCTTCCTCTGGCAGGATGAGGCGTGCAGGCCTGGGTAAGAAGTGAGCTGAGGTTCAAAGTTTGGGGACCCCAGAAACAGCCTTGCTCGGAGGCATAGAGCTGTGGGAGGGTCTCGACTGGTCTCCTGTCATAGGCATTGGGGCTTTAAAGTGGGATGTTTGAAGGTAATCTTTGGAGGCAGTCCGAGTGGAAACACGTAATTTGTCCCACATCCCAGGGAGTTTCTTAAGTCCAATTCAGACCAAGTTTGGATGGTAGGTTAGAGGGAGTAGATCTGGAGCTGGGTTATGTACAAGTGCCAACTCAGTAGTGTTTTTTTTTTTTTTTTTTTTTTAGTCTCTAAGTGATTATGGAAACATGGAAACTGCTCAATTTCCCTAAGCCTGACTCTGGTTTCTCTTTCTCTGTTCAATAAAGAGTGGGTGTTGCGTGCTAAGCACACTACTGATTATGTTGGTAACAGTGAGTTACAAAGGTAAATGTACGTGTCATTATTATTCAAGGCACTGGTATGTAAGATCTGGGTCAAAGGCGATTTTTACGTAGAAAGTTTCTTACCTGAAGGTTGTTCCACTGTTAAGGCAGTAAGTAAAACGTGATAAGGTTTAATAACTTCACATTGTTCTTGACTTTGTGAATTAAGGAAGCCAGCATACTAAGCAGCAGGAATAAGTCAGGCACAAGGAGATTTAATGGACCCTATGATAACACACAGCATTTTCTGGTCCTAAGCTCTCTATTAAGCGGCTTTAAAAAAAAAAAAAAAAACCTACTTAATCAGAGTAGGAAATACTCTGAAATATTTGAGGAAAAAATACCTGAAATATTTTTTAAAAGATGTTACCATTCTCATTGTAAGATGGAAAAGGGAAAAACAATAGCGTTTTCTGTAGTGTTGGCTATTTAAAGTCAGTGCAAGTTGCCAATACATGTAGACGTCTACATTGATTAATAAATTGTACTGTGAGAAACAGGTTTTTATGCATTTTTATGAATACTTGGATCATAGAAAGTGGTCCAAGACAGGCATGGAGGCACATGCCTGTAATCCCAGCGATTTGGGAGACTTGGGGCAAAAGAATCGCTGGTTGGAGGCCAGCCTCAGCAACTTAGCAAGACCCTGTCTCAAAAGAAAAAAAAAAAAGTGGGGGGCTGGGGATGTGGCTCAGTGCTTAAGTGCCCATAGGATCAATCTCTAAAAAGAGAAGACAAAAGAAAATTAAAAAGTGGTCCAGGTCATTAAAGTGAAAAAGAACTGATTTTGAACAACAAACATTTATTGTGTAATTAAGTAAGCTTTAATTACATAGTCATTTGTCACCTTGTTTATGCTCCCCAAAGCTTTCCAACCTAGCTGGGGAGTAGGACTGTGTACAAAGATAAATTATGGTACAAAAGTGGTAGCTAAACATCCAAATACCAGATAAGTTCTGCAGATAGTGAATGTTTCCGAGATTGCAGAGATGGATCACTATGTACTTTGTGGAAACATCAGAATTTCAACTAGACTTTGATTAGTGGAGAGTGGGAGAAGTAAGTTCCAGATGGGAGGGTGACCAAAATTTAAAAAGGTTTGTACTAGAACTACATCATAATCAAGAGATTATGATGATTAAACTAGTTTGATTGAAGTAGGGGATATGAGACCACATTGTGGAGGTTTTTGCAAAACTCCCAAGGCACATGGGTTTACATCATTAGTAGACTATTGCCCATTTGAATGTATTTTTTTGTCTTCCTAAATTTCAAGAAATAGACTTGAGAAATGATAGTTCTCAGCCCAACTGTACATTAGAATTACCTGGGAAGTTTTTAAAGTGTTGTTATCTGGATCCCAATTAAATTAGAATCTCATGGATAGAGTTCTCATAATCCGTATATATGCTTCAACCATTCTTTTGGCAAGCAATCTCAAACTTTTGGGACTCTGTTTTTCTCTAGCCCCCGTGTTGTACCTCCAACTCTAGATCAGTCTAACAGTGTGGCTTTTCAAGGGTTAATTCAGGCCATTGAGTTCTTCTATAAAACATCTGGGAGGAATGAAACCATTACAACATATTGTGGCAACCAGGTTGGTTTTAACCTCCAAGTAGTCCTGAGCAGTCCTGGTCATTGCTCTTCATTATTCTCTTTACTTTTTATTTCAAATGATCACCATTCAAATGATCACCAAATAGCCCCCTTTCTTCCTTTACTGAAGAAACTGATGACATCAACTTTTTAAAAATGTGGTTAGATAACACCCTCAACCATGCTTTCCTGTTCAACCCCCCAGCACATTTATGTTGCATTCACTCTCTAAGGCTCACTGCACCTGTTGTTTGCCTGATGAATACCAAGTACCTTATTAGGGTGGTGGGGACTGTATTCCTAGTGCCATCCCCTAGAAGATACGTTCTATAGAAGGACCACCTGAAAAGAGTAGTTGATCTGACATATAGCTCAAATATTTGTTGAAGAATGACTAAAATGCCACAGAACTCTCAACTAATATTCTCCATAAGTTATTCCCTCTCCTAGGACTTCAGCTTGTGTTCACTTCACCCCTTGACTCTTTCCCATTCAGGGAAAGAGATGCTGGTGAAACATCATCCATCTGCCAAGAGTTTCCCTCCCACGATGCTTTCTTCCTTTCCTTCAAAACTAGATTTCTTCAATGAGTAGTTAATGTAACTGCTTTTAGATCTTTTATTAAAACATATTTCTAATGAGCAGGATATGTGTGCCAATATCCTTGTATGGCAGTGCCTATTTTAGTGTCTTCTGAATAATCAGTAAGTGATTAATAAGTATGTATTGAAGTGAACTGAATGTTCTTTATTTAAGAGAAGTAATGGAAAGAATTGGTTTGATCTCTGTTTCTAAATTTTAAAAATTTACTTGGAGTACGAATATTATAGACATATGTGGTCTGCAACGCCCTCAAGGGGTCTTTTTCGGTTCTTTCCTATTAAACTTTCAAAAGTGGCTTTTGGTTTACTACACTAACCTTGTGACTCTTGTCCTTGCAGGTGAAGGAGCACCTTCTGGCAACTATGGGAACCATGGCTATTCTCACAGTGGGTACAGTGCCTGTGAAGAAGAGAATGAGAGACTCACCGAGAGTCTTAGAAGCAAAGTAACTGCTATAAAATCTGTAAGTATCTTGTTAGCATGGTATACATTTTGATTGGTATGTTTGTATACATATATCACATACTTATAAACTATACTTTTTATTGGCATGTACTGAGGAAGATGGTTATTCAAATACTGTGGTTTAGCAAAGTCAAAATGCACTCAAAATTTAGCTTCTTTAAGTAGGTTAGAAAATGTGACAAATCCAAAGATATGGTATTTTCAAATTTTTTTTTAAACTCTGGCTATGTTTTGTGTTAAAATCTGAAAAATACTATATATATTCTGCAGTAATGTCTCAACCATCTTCCACCCCCAGTAGCTCTTCTCCTTTTTCTAGTCTCCTAAGATAAAAAACCAAAGTCTTTCTTGTTTCTGCCTTTGAATGTCATTTCAGTCACTGAGTCATATGCTTTCTTGTGTTTCTATCTCTGTTTTCCTGTTTCTCTCTTTCTAATACTAGCCCTCGTTTCCAAGGTGAGTCATTGGGAGAATCTCTTAACCTCTATTCTGACCTCAGCTACATACTGTTGCCAGAATAATCTTTGTATTTTTAAAATTGCATTCTGAGCTCCGAAATGTCTTTGGTGACTTCTGTGATTTACCAAATAAAGTTCACACTCTTTACCTTGACTGAATAGGTCCTTCAAATATGGGCTCCAACTTTTCTGACTTCTTGCACATCCAGAATCCACATATATTTTCTGCCAGAAAAATGAGAGTGCTCTTTGTGTCTTCTGTATGCTGTTGCCATTCCATCCCATATCTTTGATCATGCCAACTCTTTGCCATGGTCATCCTCTTCCTATGTTGACTAAAGCTGTGCTTTTCTTGAGAGACCCTACTTTATTGCTTTAGCTAATCACTATATCCAAAGTAACTCTTTTCCTTATGAACGTATTTCTGTAGCGTTTATTGCATAATGATTTGCTTTGGTATTATTTCTGTGTAAAAGAAATTTACCTGAGTGTAGGTTTTTTTTTTTTTTTTTGGTACTTTCTTTTTTATTCCACATAGAAACTAGAGTAATTCCTTATCACTGATATTAATTGTGTAAATTTGTATTGAATAAAGTAATTAGACAAAAATGTTAATGCTGCAGTCTGGCTGGGCACAAATCACGAGCCACTGAAGCAGGAACAAACTTTATTTTTGAACTGCAGGAAAACACTTCACCCAGCTCCCGGGGAATCCTCCCGAACGCCACGCGGCTCGTCCAGGAACCCCCAGCCGGAAATATCTCTCCCGGAAATCCCTCCTCCTGCACTTCCCCAACCAATGGGAACTCTCGGGGAATCCCTGGAAATCCCCACGAGAACTCCAAAATAGTGCGAGAACTCAAAAGTTGCGGCAGAGGCGGATAGTAATGCCTCGCCTGTCAATCAATACTGTTGGCAAAATGCCAGGGGCCATACAGACTCGGCCGTGGCTCTCAGCATCTCCCCCTTTTTGTTTAATTAAACAACAAGCAATGTGGCTTAGGGACCCTGCCTGTTAGGTAGTCCAATTCAACATATGGTCCTTACCCGTCATCGGATGAACTGACCTCTAGGCGTCAGCCTCCTGTCTTAGGTTGGTACCACTGCAATTGGATCATACCCGTCACTGACTACCGGTCCAGCATACAGCCATACTTGTGGATAGGCCTTTGCACCAGTGGGGGGTTGAGGTTCTTTGCCTCACCTCTGTTGGCCCCCAAATTTGGCCTTGGTGCCAGTGGGGGGGTGAGGTTCTTTGCCTCACCTCTGTTGGCCCCCAAATTTTAGACCATCACTAGTAGAAGGGAGGAGGATGCAAAATGCCATGACACTAAGCCAATTGAGGGCTCCTTTGAAAAATTGTACCACCGGTGACACCATCAGCAAAAATACTCCAGCACTACCACAATTCGCTGCACCAACAGATAGTTCACAATGCATACAAGTGATACATAGTCCAGGCAAGTTCTGCAAACAGTTCAAAGCAGAGGAATCTGTCAATATGTCCATTTCCTCCCAAAGTAAATCGACTCCTTGATTGAGCATTACTTGTTGAGTTATTATTCATTGATACATCAGTTTATACAGTTTGTTGTGATAACTATTGAAGAAGCTGTTGTTTGGTTTTATCTTTGTCTTCACCGGCACTGGGATGAAGATAGGAATTCTGGCAATGATGCTAAGAAAAAAATTATGTAACATTCCAACAGGCACTAAGAAAACAATTTTTTGAACAATTTACATTATCCTGAACGGAATTATTAAATATAATGAGAAGGAAAGGTGAAAGTAAACAAACAGATCTGTTAACCTCCTTATTTGTTCACATATTAAAACAATTTTCAACAGCTGTTTACCCAATCTAAATTAAACCATTAAAATCACGTGAATAAAAAAATTCGGATCCATTAATTCATGAGCACTCCTCATATATGATATATGTACATACGCACATACAGACATACAACACAAAACAGAAGTGTGCACACATAACATACAACACATAAGACAATAGTAAAGGCCTTGTAGCTTTACCTAGGTGAAATCTCCATTGTAATGCTTAAAAACTCCACAATCAAAAAATAAAACTGATCAGAAAAACATTAACCTAGGTCTGTATGAGCTCAAAAATAAAATAGAACTTTATGATGTGGGAAAAGGCAAATAATAAAATAAATATTGAAAAAAGCATCTTGGTTAATCACTGTCGCAGATGTAAGAATAGCCAAACTGGAGTTCTGGATATCAGCTGTTATGGATTTGAGTCAAATTATCTTCCTTTTGGTCTGTAGAAATTGTTTTAGTTAATCTCTCTGGAATCCAAATCGGCTGCTGTTCTCCCTGTGGAAAAACACAAACAGAACCCCGACTCCAGACAATCACTGGGTCAGGACCTTTTCATTGTCCTGTTAGAATATCCTTCCAAAGTACCTTAGGCTTATGTACATTTTTTGGACACATATGCCTTTCCGCAGCACTAAGCCCTGATGAATCCAAATTTTAAAAGTTTATAGTAAAAAGGGTTATTTTAAGTTTATCTTTGGGTGATATATACCCCTTTCCAATTCCCTCTTTTTGCTTTAATAAGTACATTTTAATAGTTTGATAAGCTCTTTCAACTATGCCTTGTCCCTGAGGATTGTATGGGATTCCTGTTATATGAGTAATGCCAAATGATGAGCAAAATTGTTTAAAAGAGGTAGAAGTATAACCAGGACCATTATCTGTTTTTAACTGTTTTGGAACGCCCACAGTGGCAAAATTTTGTAAGCAATGAGCTATAACATCTTTAATTTTTTCTCCGGAATGAAGGGAGCCCATCAAAAATCCGGAAGAAGTATCAACTGTAACATGCAAATATTTTAATTTTCCAAATTCTGGCAAGTGTGTGACGTCCATCTGCCAAATATGGTTAGGTATCAGTCCTCTAGGATTGACTCCAAGATTAACTTGTGGTAAAAAGGTCACACAATTTTGACATTGTTTTATTATTTGTCTAGCTTGTTCCTTAGTTATTTTAAAACGCTTTTCTAAAGTATTAGCATTGACATGGAACCTTTTATGAAAATGTGTAGCTTCTTCTAGTGTAGAGAAAATATGTATGTCATGTGTAGTTTTATCTGCTAAATCGTTGCCCAAACTAAGGGCTCCAGGCAATCCTGTATGTGCCCTGATATGTCCTATAAAGAATGGATCTTTTCTGTCCCAGATTAGACTTTGTATAGCAGAAAACAAAGAGAAAACTGTAGAGGAAGGGGAAATCCTGCCAGCATCTTCAAGGGATACTATAGCATTAACTATATACTGACTATCAGAAAATAAATTAAATACAGAATCTTTAAACATCACAAAAGCTTGTAAAACTGCATTAAGCTCTACCTTTTGAGCTGATTATTTGGGTACTAAAAATGTAAAAGTTTGATCAGGGGTAACTACTGCTGCTGTACCATTATTTGACCCATCAGTGAATACATTTGGAGCATTCATGATAGGGGTTTTTCTTGTCATTTTTGGAAAAACTACAGGATGTGAAGACCAAAAAGACAACAAAGGATTAGATGGTAAGTGATTATCAAATGAAACATTAGATTTACACATGATTATTGCCCAAGTATTTAACTCATTAGCTAACTCATCAATTTGATCCATAGTATATGGAGTAATAATTTTATTGGGAGAAATTCCAAACACTCCCTTTGCTGCTTTTATTCCTTTGAGTATTAATTTTCCTACAGCCTCAGGATACCTAGTAAGAATAGTGTTAGGAGAATAAGATAAATGTTTCCACAATAATGGACCTTCTTGCCAAAATACTCCTGTAGGAATATTTTTTGTTGGTATTACAATAAATAATAAAGGCAAAGTTATATCAATTCTATCCAAATGCATATTTTTCCATATATGTTTCAATAATTTTTAATGCCTTTCTTGCTTCAGGTGTTAACATGCGGGGTGAATTTGGATCTGATGGACCTTTTAGGATATCAAATAAAGGTCCCAACTCTCCTGTTGGTATGCCTAGATAAGGCCTTATCCAATTTATGTCTCCTAATAAGTTTTGAAAGTCGTTAAGTGATTTGAGTTGATCTACTCGTATTTGAATTTTTGGTGGACGGACCATGGTTGAGGATAATAGAACTCCTAAATAATTAATTGGAAAATTTAATTGTACTTTATCTATTGCTATCTCTAGATTATATTTTTTTAATAAATTTGTAAGTGTGGCATAACATTCTAGCAATGTGTTTTTATCTTTGTGTGCTAACAATACATCATCCATATAGTGAAATATTTGTAGTTTAGGATTTTGATTTCTAAGTGGCTGGATTGCTTTGTTAACATAAATTTGACACATAGTTGGGCTGTTACCCATCCCTTGAGGGAGTACTTTCCATTCATATCTCTGATCAGGACCTTCATGATTCAGTGCAGGGATAGTAAATGCAAAACGTGGACTATCCTCAGGATGAATTGGAATTGAAAAAAAACAATCTTTAATATCTATAACTAAAACATACCAGGTTTTTGGCAAAGCAGACAACTGAGGAATCCCTGATTGAGCAGGTCCCATAATAACCATCTCATTATTAATGGCTCTTAAATCTTGCAATAATCTCCATTTACCAGATTTCTTTTTGATGACAAAAATGGGAGTATTATGGGGAGATACAGAAGGTTGTATATGTCCTTCCGCTAATTGTTGTTTGACCAGGTCATGGGCTGCTTGTATCTTTTCTTTAGTCAGGGGCCACTGAGGAACCCATACTGGTCTTTCTGACTTCCAAGTAATTTTTATTGTCTCAGTGACCCCTTCTGAAAACCCAGTCCATGTCTATTTATTCCTTGATCTATTTGAATTGGTGCTGCTATGCCTTGTTCTCCTAATCTTTTTTCTTTCCTGAAACCTTGTCTAGCCCTAATAGTGGGCGCATTTGGATTGATGTTATTTGTTAATGTCAAACCTAATTGATCTAGGACATCTCGTCCCCATAAATTTATAGGAAGATGATCCAATACATATGGCTGTATAGTTCCTTCACATCCTTCAGGATCCTTCCAATCTAATACCATTGCACTTCTATGGGGATTAGTTGCCACTCCTAGGCCTTGAAGCGTTTGAGTGGCTTGTTGTAACGGCCAATGTTTTGGCCATTCTTGAGGAGATATGATGCTAAGGTCTGCACCTGTATCCAGTAGCCCATTAAATTCATGTCCTTGAATATTTAGTTTTAGCATTGGGCAAGAATCTAAATTTAAAGACAGCATAGCCCAATCTACACCTGTGGAGCCTAATCCCCTGGAACCTCTTTCTATAGTACTACTAGAAAATTTATCATGTAGGCTAGGTATTATTAATAACTGTGCTATTCTATCTCCTGGTGAAATTACTGATATACCCTTTGGAGAACTAGCTATAATTTTTATTTCACCTTCATAATCGGGATCAATTACCCCGGGACTTATCATAAGTCCTTTTAGCGTAGAAGAACTGCGTCCTAACAATAAGCCTACTGTTCCTTGGGGAAGAGGTCCTTTTACTCCTGTGGGAATGATTTGAACTCCCATCTCTGGAGTTAGTACTGCTCTGGCAGAGGTGCAGATGTCCAACCCTACGCTCCCTCTGGTTTTTCTGATGAGAGATCTGATGGATAATGTGTCCTTGGCACTGCCCTGATGGTGTTGCTGGGTTCCTCCATGGTGTTTCTGGGCTCCTCCAGTGCCCCGTACATTTGTGGTTGTGGGCCCCGGAGCATTGGGCCCCCCTATCCGTTTTTTGGCAATGGAGCCCGATGCCTTTCTCCACGATATCGTGGGTAAACACTTGGTCCTTGTCTGTTTTTTGATAATGGAATACCCTCTATGGTGGTTTGAGAACAGCATTCATTAGCCCAATGTTTCCCTCTACGGTATCGTGGGCAAATACCCGGTATTCTATTCCTTTGATACCTAGCTTTGTTAAACCCTCCTCCTATGGGGCAACTCCTTTTAAAATGTCCTGTTTGATCACAATTATAGCATGTTTTTGGCCTGGCATCTGAAGCCTGTTGTACTGCTGCTAAGACTTGCCCTTGTTCATTAATGTCTCTACATAATGTAATATATGTGTTTAAATCTTCATGTCTCCATGATCTAATGACCTCTCTGCAGCAACGATTTGCTTGGTCATAAGCCAGTTGTTTTATAAATCGCATTGCCTGTTCTGTATCCCCCAAAATTCTGGAAGCTTCTTGAATAAGCCTATCTACATATTCAGCATAAGGTTCATTAGTTCCTTGTATTACCTTAGATAATTGACCTTGTAAATCTCCATGCCCCTGTAAAGTTTTCCATGCCTCAACCGCATCTACAGCAATTTGTGCGTATACGCCAGGATCATATTCAATTTGTTGCCATTGACCCTCATAAGGTCCTTTTCCTAACAACATATGTAGATTTCTTTGAGGGTAACCAGCTGCTGCATTTCGCCTAGCTGTCTCCCTGCAAAATTCCTCATTGGCATCCTTCCATAACAAATACTGTCCTCCATTTAGCACAGATTTACACATACTAGCCCAATCTGCTGGCGTCATGTCCAAGTTAGTAATGGATTCGACCATGCTTACAGTGAAGGGTGCTTGGGGACCACAGGTTGTTACAGCCTCCTTTAACTGCTTCACTGTTTTGAAATCTAAAGCTCGGTGAATTCGCTGCTCTCCTGCCTGCTCAAGTACAGGGCATGCTAATCTTTGAGGTCCTGTCTCAGGATCCCATCTATCAACTACGGGGTTTGAGGGCCACTCAGCTATCTCCATAGGGGGAGCTGTTGGTTGAATTACGCCCTCTGGTGATAGAACGGTGTTAGTAGCAGCCTCCTGTTGTAGCTTTTTCCCGAATAGTTGTTTTTCCTCTAAGCTTTCTTCCTTTAAATTTTCTTCCTCTGTCTGACTAGCTTGAGAGACCTTCTCTTTTGCTTGATCTAAAATGTCTTTCTCCATGGTCTGAACCTCTAACAATTTACTTAACA